TGTATTGTGTGTATTGTGGGTCCCCACTTGTATTCTATAATCTGCTTTGAGTCTCAGTGAGAAGGGCAAACTATAAATAAAGTAAGTAAATTGTAAAGCATAATGCATCAACAGCAGGATGTGACTTTGGGTTGTCAGGAGGGGCTGCTCTGACTTTCAGCCATATTTGAGATGTATATTACGCACTGCTGAAACACTGTTAAAATGTAGGTATGGTTTGTTCACTGCCAAATTTAGTTAAAGGCACAGGGATCTGTCTTGGGCCCTGTGTTGTTCAATGTCTTTCTGAATGACTTGGATGAAGGAATAGAGGGGATGCTCATTAAATCTGCAGGTAGTACTAAATTAAGAGAGGTAGCAAACACAGTAAAAGACAGAATCAAGATTCAGGATGATCTTTCCTGAAGGGGGCGAGGCATCCCCGACGTGATGATGTCACGTTGAGGATGTCTGCCGCCGCCCCCCACCCGCCCGTGCGCCAGATCTCCAGAAACGGCAGTTCCCTGCACTTAAAGGAGCCGGCATTTCCCTTTTAAATGCAGTAGCCGGTGTTTTCCCCTTTAAGAGCAGCCGCATTTCCCTTTTAAAAGTATGAAGCTGGCATTTCCCTGCAAACTTGCGGAGATTGGGCTTGGCGAGGAAACACGGGTTACACACACTTAAAGGGAGAGAGATGGGTGGCTGTGGGTGTTGGGGGTGGGGCTTCCTCCACCAGCCATCTGGCCAGTGTCAGGAAGGAGCCCACTAAATCAGAGGATCCCCCACTGGGGGGCTGGAATGCCTAATAGCAGCAGTTTGAAAATGTCATGCCATCATCCATTCAAGATTCAGGATGATCTTGACAGGCTGGAAAACTAACAAAAAGGATTTCAACAGAGATAAATATAAAGTTTTGAATTTAGGTAGGAAAAAACAAAGGCATAATTATAGGATGGGGAAGGCTTGTCTTGGTAGTTGTATATCTGAAAAACGTCTTAGTAGATCATATCCTGAACATGAGTCAGCAGTGTGATGCAGTAGCTAAAATGGTAAATGTAGTTTTGGGCTGCATCAACAGAAGTATAGTGTCCAGACTACGTGAAGTGATAGTATCACTTTGCTCTGATTAGACCACACATGTTCACTTTTGGGAGCCTCAGTTTAAGAAGGATATTGACAAGCTGAAATGTGTCCAAAGGAGGATGACAAAGATGGTGAGGGGTCTGGAGACCAAATCCTATGAGGGAAGGTTGAAGGAGCTGGGTATGTTTAGTCTGGAGAGAAGATGGTTAGGAAGGAATATGGTATCCATTGTCAAGTATTTTAAGGGCTGTCCTATAGAGGATGGAGCAGAGTTGTTTTCTGTTGCCCCAGGAAGTCAGACCAGAACCAATTTTCCTCCTGGCCAGATTGGCCTTGGAGGGTTTTTTTGCCTTCCTCTGGGCATAGAGCAGGGGTCACGGGGATGGGAGGGATGTAGCTGTGAATTTCCTGCATTGTGTGCAGGGGGTTGAACTAGATGACCCTTGGGGTCCATTGTAGCTCTATGTTTCTGTGTTTCTATCTGTAAGTACAGCTTTCAACAAGAATAGATAAAGATTAAGGGGTTATCCAGAACACCAGCTCAAAGATGCCCCACCACACTATTGCCCTTGCGGAAAAGAGCCTCACAATGACATTCAAGGGGAATAGTATAGTGCAATATCCAGTTCAGAAGAAGTGGTGGGGAATAAACATGCAGTAGGTGGAGGGATTGCCATGCTGCTGCTTCTTACTTTTCCCCTTCTCACTTTTTAAAGAAAGCCTGCTCACCTGTTCTCTAGCACTTAAAACAGGAGGAGAGCAATTTGGCTTGCAAACGGGAAGCTGCATGCAAACTAAAATGGACTATTATCAGGGTAGAGTCTGGGGAAAAAACCTTTGTAAGTTTTCTCCCTGCAATGATCCAGCTAAAGTCTCTATGCCAAGTCTTAAGGTTTGTCACTGGGCAGTGTGTGTGTGTGTGTGTGTGT